ACCCAGGCTCACGGGCGGTCATTCAGACTCAGTTCCCTGAGCTTGGTGAAAAGTCAATGGGGGACTGGTCTGAGCACAGGCTCAGTCATCTGTCTTGGGATGACTACTGTTAAGTACTTGGAGTTCTCTGGTTTCGACTGCTAGTCACTAAGTATTCTTCAATTTTGACTAAAAATATGACAGATGTCAAAACCTATTTTTACTATGTACATCAAGTTTGTAGTACCTGGGACTACAGTTTTTCTGCGTACTTGTGCCTTATTAACTTGAAGTTGAGAATAAATATTTTGTTTGAGAAAACACCAAAAAATATCACACCGACAGTTATTTTCAGTCATTTCAGTTATTTTATTAATTTATTTTATGCATGCATGAAGGGGCACAAACTCTCTCACACTGAAAGAGCTGCAACAATATTTCTTTTACTTCCAGAAAGAAAAACATGTATGCCTGAAAAAAAAGTTATATGCCTCTATAGGCTACAGGCATCAGGCAGGGAACCAGCCAGTAGGGGGCACCAGCCCATAGCTGGTATTACGTCTTTTATTCCTGCTAATTTTGTTATACAATACAACTCTGTTACCATAATAGGGAAACAAGTAACACAGACTATATATTTACATGCATGCATATGCTGTACATGCATAGTCCATTCATGTTAATCTGGGAAAAATTGAAAAGAATGAAATAATATTTTAGGAACAATTACAAAAAAGTTTTTAAACAGTATTTTTAAAACCTAAATACAATAGATATTGTTAGAAAACATTTACATTTCTGTTTTATTTTCCATTCTTGTTTTTTTTACTCATGAATGAAAATACATATAATAATACAAAATAATATTACACTAATATATTTATATTACTAAACAAGAAACAAATAAATTAGGTGCTGAATCTTACTGATCGTTCCATTTCTGTCATTGTAAATACTTTTAAATATAAAACAATTACAAAAGACATAAACCCTAAAAGTATGATTTCACATACTAAACTAAGCATGTTTTCACGTTTGGTCATATCTTTTGTCAATAGAATATTGACATCAACACTAAATTTGATGTTCACAATGAATTCGTTGCTCTTTCCATTAATTTGTTTGCATGGTCATCAAAGGTGAAACATTTATTAAATGCCAAATCAAAGTATGTAGATCATTTGATTTGATTGAATATTTTGTCCTGATTTGGACCAGAATTGTCCGGAGGATATTTCAGTAACTCTATTACCAACAGAGGGGGCTGTAAGCACACAGATCATGATGTGATCAAAATCATTTCCTGAACACCAAGCTTGTTTTTATCTATTAGTCTGGAGAAGATTGGGAAGCCATTTCTAAGACCCTGGTGCTTCACTGAGATGTTGCCAAAATCATGTCATAATATCTCATACCAGCGTCCACATGTAGTTTAATCCTGCCTCTCCCACAGCTCAACAGCGCCCCCTAGTGATTCCTGTCACCATGTTGTAATGGGGTTTGTGTGGTAAAGCATCTACCTTAATTTACTTCTCTTGCCTTCCCTCCAGGTGGCTCCCCAAGCGCCACTGCGCCTCACTGTGTTTGCCCGCAGCTATACCCGTGGATCCCAGTGGTCACTGTAACTGCAGCTCTGCTCTGCATGCGCCTCTCTGTTTTCATATACATGCAGAGATACAAAAAATGGTGAGTCACCTGGAGCATCACCGTCACGCCTCCTGCTGTGAATTTCACACCCTCCTGGGGGGGAGAGACCCTGAGTGACTGCAGTTATTCCTTTGACTGCATGCCGCCTTTCACAGAGTGGGGTCCTCACTTTCAGACAGTTTTATACCTCTGAGTAGAATCTAAGCTGTAACTTGCCGCACACCCTACACCTTCACCTGACACCTGTACTTACATTCCTGGGACGGTCTACACCGTCAGGCCACAGCGTAGGGTATGCGGCTATGCGGCTACCTACTACGTAGGTTCTACGCAGAAGTATTAATCAGCTTTTAGGCTGTTTCCCTTCTGCCTGTATCTACTGTAGCTGCCTGACAGTCTGATGGTCATATAGTCTCACACTTAGGGTTAGTGTGCATCTCTGCTTATGTCACTGATTTTCCCTTTACGTCAGATGACACAGTCACGTGACATCATACATCGTAAGTGTCTTACTATCTCTGATTCTGTGTCATAGGGGCAGGAGAGGATTGATGGAGGACGACTGCTGTGGATTCACACAGCATGCAGCCTACTGTGACCTCTGACCTTAGCCTAACCTCTGCAAGCCACTCCTCCACGTCTTCATTTTGACACACACTGAAGTCTGGTTGAACTGTAAAAAGGGGCATACAGCCTCATTTTGAATGATTATTAAGCAATAAAATCTTTCATTCAAAAATGATTTTTCAGTGCAGATCTTCTGTGTTCTATGACTTGGTGTAAAATTGTTTCCTCATTACTCAGCAAGACTTAAAATCGCTGATAATTTTGGTTGGTTGGCGATTATGTCATCGTCAAAATGACCACAGAACAGTATCATTACCCCTAAGACTCACTAGAAACTATATGTTCTGAGCTCCACACTTGAGCAATTTAGAGCAATTTGTGGTTAACCAATAGCGAAGTCCGTTACAGGGTGTAGCACATACAATATAAAATGAGGAGACCTCAGAAGCAATATGGCATTAAAGCAGATCCTCCAGGTGATCATAATCTCAACCATAGTATCAATCAAACATTTTCATAGCCTTATCGAGTGCGAGCAGCCTTGGGGTGGTGGGCAGAGAGAGGTTGCCATCTACATCTACTGGAGTTGTAGTGACCCAAGTGCAGCAGTCAACAAGTTGTTGGAAGGAATTCATTACATATACAGATAACATACCTGAGTCTTTCTTCACATTACCTTCTAACTGCCTCTCCTTTAAAGGACATAATTTAAATAGCTATTTATAAGCATTAATACTAACATCAGGCAGAAGAGTGAGTCCTCCTTCTCTCTGAAGTAGGCCATTGTGATGAGTGTAGACAACGCCAAAGTCGATGTTTCCATTACCAGCACTATCTATGTATTTCAGGACTGTCCCAACATCCTTTTTCCACCATGGAAGTTCACTTTTTCCAAAGTGTAGCACCTTTTTCCCATTTCTGCTGAGAGAATCCATGAGTCTGGTGGTAACATCAATCCCAGTCAGCGTGAGCACAAGCTGCTTCAGGTAGAGAGACGGATCTGTTGAAACAACAGATAGTGAGTGGTGGCTGGTAGCAGCAATTTAGCCAGCATCCTCAAAAATCCTCTTCTACATAATTGCCATCATCATCTTCAATATTAAAATGCATATGATTGTCGCCATGGATGTCACCGTCTTGCCTACAGCTTGACCCATCATTAAGTATTTGTGGAGGGTTCTCCAGAGAGTCTGTATCCTGCTGATGTGGAATGTAAAAGACGATTTTCACATGATTATGACTTTTTCCCCCCACAGTTGGGAAAGGGGCATGTAACCTTTCCCCCGCCCCCATCTCTTATATGCCATTTGAAATGGTCACACAAGCTCCGCAAATTGAGAGATATATGCCAACATCGCTCAGCCTCACAAATCACCGCATCCATTTGAGCAGCTCTACAGCAAACGGAATATTGTGTGCTTCCCACGCATGTGACTTAAGTGCAGCCAGTGTCTGAAAAGTGCAAGGACAAGTCGATAAACCACAACCGAACCTAGAACTAGCCTGGTTCGTATGCATTTTGATATGATGGTAAAATCTGGAAACTATTTTCACAGATAAATTACATTGTTTGCACACAAATGGCGTGAGCACTTTGACAGTTACCGCTAACGAGTTTCACGGCAAATATTAACCATGAACGGCGAATGCCGCGAGCATGTTGTAGTCAAATAAGGATGGGCACGTCGCCAGTTTCTCTCTCTTATGTTCGCCTGTTAAACCAACATTTACTTCGGCTTAGTTGACTCACCGTTAAGACGGCAGCCACTATTTTAGGATTCAAACGTAACGTCGCCGTTTTAAAATTACATCCTCCCCGCCGGAGTTACTTAATTGCGCACGCGCAGGACATATCACGCGCTCTCTCATACACGGCCATAAATATATGCCGCCAATATTAAAAATGGGACTTTGTGATTAATTTGTTGCTTCTTTTAGCTAAATTATATTATCATAAATGTAAGTTTCTGTAAGTTTAGGTTTTTCACCCCCTCCCCCATTAAAAAAGGCTGAAATGTATTTATTGCAATGTAACAGCAATGTTCCCATTTAAGCTGCCACCACCTTTTGTAAACCGGTACCGTACGGCAGTCGTCCCTAGATTCCACACAAAAACCCACACACGGCAAACGGTAACAAATACACTTTCCTTTGTTCATGACAAAATATACTATTCATAAAAATACCAGGTTTAGGTGAATGCAGGCAGGAATACAAGTATGCCATCTAACCTGCTGAACACCAAGCCAGCAACTATAGCGCCACCTACCATCACGCAGTACAATATCGCACAACCTTACAAGGTCTAAAGAAGGGCCAGGTTAGAGTTATTATCCATAAATAATCACCACCCCAAATGCAGCAACACAAGGTACAGCAAACAGTCACTCTAAAAAGGATAATTACTAGGCTTAAATGCTCAATACATAAAACATTCCCCAATAAACCACTCACTTTCTACGCTAAACCATAGTAGATATTATGGCGTTTAATTAGTGCCAAAACTCGCGCGCATAAAAACCACGCGCGCATATGAGCTCGCGAGCAGAAGATGTAACTCCCCAATTTCCCCACGCACTCACTCTCACAATTTATTTAACAAGATTAGAACAACCACCGAACTATGGAAGTAAATTAATGACAAAAGCCGTTGATGAAGAAAAAAAACACGTTGAATTACACTCATCGAATAAAAACGCATTGCATTAATGACGCTTTGAATTTTTGGGGACTGTAATTTAATATGTGCATACATTTAAACATTGAACATTTCAACTGAAACATTTCAATCGTAATTTAATTGCTTAAATATTCAGTACAAAAATATTCGGCTTCCAAAATTAACGACTTTTGTCATTAATTTACTTCCATACCGAACTTCCCTCTGTCCAGCAGCCGCCAAGACCCTCCCGTGCGTCTGTAGCTCAGTCTGTCGGCATCGGCGTCCCGAATGCCCACCAAAAACACACACAAAAACGTCCTTCGCCGGTCACTCCATCCGCAAGTTAATCCAACATGGCCCCAAACATCCTTTTCTATCAGCTGAGTGACCAACAGCGTCCATGCCTCACGAAACATCGTTTCGTTTTGTCGACTAGTAAATATAACTCGCCGTTTTTCCGACTTATAAAGTAGACGCTTCAGCGACTTATGTCTATCTCGCCGTTTTGCCGACTAGTAAATATAACACCATATCTCTACTCATCACGGTAGAGACCTGCGCGGGACGGATTTTTCAGTCCCGCTCCTGACCGCTCCCGCAAGATTCTGTCCCGCTCCCGCTAAAAATATATATTATTTTTTCCCGCTCCCGCCCGCAGTATTCAAGTTTTGTCCCGCTCCCGCCCGCAAAAGTAAACATATAAGTAGTTTTATCTTTACCGCTTCTTCCCGCTACTCTGTTATTCGTTTCACTTGCTTCCCTTTTGAGTAGCCTATATATAAAAAAAGAAACGGAAAATAAACAAATATGTTTCGTTTTATTTTAGTTTAATTAAATGGAATGATAAACATGGACACGAACGAGGAGCTTTCCAGAACATGCCATCCTGTCCAAGCACCAGGCTGATTACTTCTTGGGGTGTCCGGTTACGTCCCCCGGCACTCAGAGCGCGTAATTTCTGTAGACGATTCGCCTGTAAATTGTTATTATTTTAATTTAGTCGTTCTTTTTGCTTTTGTGCAGTAGATAAAAGAGTATTTGTTTTTAATAAATTAATTTTAAGATAATTACATTTTGCGGGAGTCCCGCGATTAATTCTATTCTCCCGCAACCCGCACATACATGAGGACCTTACCGCCCGCACCCGCATTCACATCATCAAATCTTGTCCCGCGCCAGACTCGGTGCGGCGGGTCCCGCAGTACTCCCGCGGGAGT